AGAGAGAGAGAGAGAGAGAGAGAGAGAGAGAGAGAGGAGAGAGAGAGACAGACAGGAGAGAGAGAGAGACAGACAGACAGACAGACAGGAGAGAGAGACATTTTTTCTAAAGTTAAAAAATGGGAAACAATATTATGATAAAGGGAGTTAGATCTCTGGATGATTCTACAGTGGATGGTTTGAAAATCAAACAATGAAACGATAGGGTAATTACTTGGGAGTCACATGACGTCTATTATAATCATTATTATTATTATTTATTTATTTATTTTTTGGTTTTTCGAGACAGGGTTTCTCTGTGGCTTTGGAACCTGTCCTGGAACTAGCTCTAATAATCATTATTGGTTTGATAATTCTTGTTTTATTTCTAAAGGCATTGATAACAGTGCCAACTGTGAGAAACTGACTGATAAGTACAGGCCTTCAAAGAACTCACTGAAACAGATAATAGAGATATGCAGATCCTCACAGAGGAGTTTAAAGGAGAACAAACCAATTATACTATGAGATTAGAGAGCAGATTGCAAGGTTGTCAAATAACCAGCCTTAATTTATTCAGTCACCCTCATGAACAACCACCAAATGACAGGTATCCCCAAGGCTATGGAAGAGCTCACTAAACACTTGTGGAAATATCAGTTCCTTAAATCTCCTCAAATCTAATATATCCAGAGGAATCCAGTGAGTTCTTCCATATCCTAAGGAAGTGATATTCTCATTTGATACGCATTCACCTTTTGTGAGGCAGATGTTAAATTTATGGGCAATTATTAATAGAATTATCCGACACGACAGAGAAAGACTTGGTTACAGCAGTATTGGAACCTGAAACTCAGTTACAGAGGAGGACCCAGTGAAAAGATGACGCTAGGACCATTGAACAATGGAGTAGGTTTAGAGGTATTGATTTCTCAAGTCCATCTTCTGGGAGAGGCATATTATGTTGATGTATGAAGACAATCTGTGAATTCCAGAGAGAAAAGAATACCAGATGTCACAAGAGACATTGTCCCCAGTAGGAAAGATGACATAACTTAGTCAGATCAGAAGGTAGGCTGGGCACCCTGCAGCTCCCCATCTGAGGTGTGGTTGCTCTCACTTGGGGTTGAAAACAGAATCATAGAAAATTCAGTTTCTCACAAAGCTTACATGAGTACTTTATTGGCAGTGTCTCTAAGGAAGAACATTAGCGCTGTATGTGGCTGGTGTCGTGATTCAGTGGGGTGCAGGGGTCAGGAGTAGGAAGGCATCAGTATGGTCTCAGAACGTCAGGACAGTCCGGATACTGAAATAACAGATATAAGATGTTGGTTCACATTCCCAGAACTCACAGTGCCCAGAGGATAAATAAAGCATGTGTTATGAGTCTCAGTGAAAACCATCCGTAACAGACATTTCATGCTGGCTATTTGCCATACACTTTGTAGAAGCGTTTTAGGCATTGTCTCATTTAAACTTCATCCTAAGCAGCAGCACTATGAGGTCAATTATCATATTTTCTCCATTTTAAAGACTGTGAAAACTGAGGCTTAGCCTTATAAAATGCCCTGGGTCGTACATGTGCGTGCAGAGCCTGAACGGTCACAGAAGTTTCATTTTTGCTCCTATCCCATTTCTCCTTCATTTCTGTTGGTCATTTCTTCTACCGTAAAAATAATCTCTTTTCCCCACCCACCCCATACAAAGAATCCTAAAGCTCACCTCTTTCCAGAGCGAAGCAACTCAAACGCCTCATTGATTTTCTCAAAAGGTAAAACATGGGTGATTAACGGCTCCAATGGAAACTTTTTAGCCATGAAATCAGCCACAAGCTTGGGGACAGAATCTTTACTCTTAAAGCCTGAAAGGAGAAAGCAGAACCGTGAGATGCAGCCAGGGGGCAGGCAGGAGAATTAGACAAGAGATCTTCCAAAGAAACCAAGTTCCTAACAGTGCCCAGGCTGCCCCCTGAGCGGCAGACGTTGGACTCAAACACCTCTGCGTGGCGTTAATGTCTTATGACATGCCACCTGATGAACAGGGTTCGTGGCTGATGATGGCGGCTTAGTAGATCTTTCCTAGAGAAATCAGTGCAGATGTTTATAGCCAAAGGAAGGGAGTGTAGGCAAACATTACTGCCTTGGGCTCTCTCCAACCTTTAAGGCATTTTTGGGCCTTACAGAGATCCAAGTAGAAGGAGCCAGGAAAGCCCTGGCTCGTTTATGGGGAGCACAGCAGCCTGTCTTACGAATTCCGGTATCAGTTCTTGCTATAGAGAGATCATGGTTTTCATGCTGCCTTCTCAGAACTTTTCTGTTTCAAAAAGGAAGAAATTCTGAAAAAAAGTTAGGAATTAGATCCTCAAAGCTTGGGAGATGGCTAAGGTAATTAAATTCTTTTAGTTTTTTCCTGACATTAGATTTTTATTGATTATCTGCTGTGTTGATCTCCAGAATAAAAAACAAAACAAATAAACAAACCCGGTAACATTTAACAGTGGTTTCAGTGCTGGGGGAGCCTGTAACTCCAGGTCTGTAGAGAGGAAATTCGGACATTCCTGGGATTGGCTGGCTAGGAATTCTAGCCTGACCATGACTGTAGGCTACTGAGACCCCCAGAATCAATGAACAAGGCTGATTGTTCCTGTAGCTACATCAAATGATCTCTGATTCCACACACACCCGTACGTTCACCTTGACACACAAGAACACATACAGAACTTGATCCTCAGCTATGAATACATACCACCAAATATTGCTCCTTTCCACGTGCGTCCTAGCAACAGCAAGAAGGGATTCACAGAGAGGCTTTCAGAATGAGGAGGCACCCCAACAATAACACTTACACCACATGCTGCATGGCTACTTAACAGGGAAGACATCTGGAATATAAATAATATTTAAAGTGGGTATTCTTGAGGATTCTACTCACGATACAGTTTCATGTCATATGAAGATATGTACAGAGAAATATTTTGAGAGAAAAAGTGATTGAATGAATTTATGTTCAAGTCTTCCTTATCAACTAATAAAGCATCTAGTCCCATTGGGAGCCTGTGCAGTCTGGGTCCTCCAAGGAGAACACTGTTTCCTCATCACGTGACTCTCAGGCTGCCTATGTGTAGATTCACTCACTGTCATTGTCCATTAACTACAGTTTTGAAGTTTGCACTCTAAGACAATTTAGATGGTGAAGATGTAATGACGACAGCATCAGAAGTTGTCTCTTATCTATTTGTCCACCTCCCTTTTTAACACGTCCCTCCTGTGGGGCTCAGATCAAGAACGGGCAAGTTTTCAGTGGCTGTGAATCCAGTGTGTGCATTGCTTTTACATTATTCCGTTATCCAGGAACTTTTCACTTTCAATTCTTTTATTTAAAATTCTGTAGTAAAAGATGGTATTTAATCCTCAAATATGCATGTTGCCTGGCATTTTGATTTTGAAACATGACATTTAGAAAACCAGATGTCCTCAGAACACGTGGGTATCAGACATTTAGATCTTCAGATCCACTGTCAACCTAGGCTCAGATGAGCAAACAGGGAGACTGTCTAGGAAATCACATAGGAGGATGACCATGGGAAAGCCAGAACCCTGAGAGTTGAAGGCTCCCCACCCACAGAGGAGACGCTAGCTTCTCTTGACATCTTGTCTCAGTTCGAGGCTGAGAAGAATGTCGATCTCAGGGCACCATTCCCATTCTCTATTTCCAACTCTGCCAAGGCTTTTTGGAGGACCTCAGTAATGGTGATTCTTTAGGTCTCTGGGGATGCTTCTCTAGAACGCCAGAGGTCTTAGGGTGGCTGATATGTACTGGAGAAGTTACATACTTAGTAATGTATGGTGTTTGCAACTATATAGATAATATTCATTTCAAAAGTTTAAGCACTGTAAGCTTGGCAAGAGCCTTTCTTATCATTATCGCCAGCTGACTTAATTGAGCGCTTACCCCATGGCAGCTGGCTCCGTGGTAAGTATTTTACATGCACTATGTCATGTAGATCATAAATAACCCTACAAAAATGTGCATCTCTTTTCTTTTCTGTTTTTTGTTTTTGTTTTTTTGGTTATTGGAAGAGAAGATAGAAGTGGCAGAGTCCGGTAGATTCAAGTCCCTGGGTGCGAGAGTGGTGGGAGGGAGAAGAGACAGAGAACCAATATTTGTATCTCCTAAATTTACGGGCAACGACAGAATCCATGAATTTTATTTTGAAAAGTATTTACTCCAACATGTAGATCTGGGTGTTTTTGTTGCCTGGTACAGTGCCGTCTCTGAGATGAAAACATGGTGATCCATTAAAGCAGCCACTCCTCTGTATGTTTGATGGTAATGAAATAATACTTGGCCTCATATTACTAATTATTCCTTTTGGCCACATGATGAGACTGGAAAATGCTTTTCAGCATAGTTAATATCAAATATTGTGTAATATTAAGAATGTGGAAAAAAGTCTATTTGTCTATTTAGGTCCAGAATTTGTTTTTAATTCCCTTGATAAATTGATTTTTTACAAAAAATCCAAAGATAGCAAACAAACAAACAAAAAACTCACTGAAAAGCTTTCCTGTATTAATGGAGGATTATTACTTGAGACAAATTTGTAGAACTTACAAATCGAAAGGTTTGTGAGAACACCGAATTAATCAATATGAGTAGAAACAGGAGATGGAAAATTACCATCTAAAATAGCTTTCTGCATGAGATTTCTATTCTTCTGTCTGGAGCACATTATGGATGGCAGAAGGACAGATCTCGGGACATGCCACAGCACCTACCATGGTGTCAAGGCGACCGATTACTTCGAAGGAGAAGTCCACCCCTCCATCGGTCATTTCCTGGATTACTTCGTGGATGGGTTTGCTGTAGTCTAGAGGGTTAATGCACTCAGTGGCACCCAATTCTTTGGCCTTGGCAAACTTGTCTTTGTTGATGTCCACAGCGATGATCCTGGCTGCTCCAGCTGTTTTACAGCCAATGATGACAGACAGACCGACACCTCCAAGGCCAAACACAGCACAGGTGGAGCCTGGGGTCACCTATGGTTGCAGAAAATATAAAAGACGGACCAGTGACCACTAAACAGTGTTCCATGCCGCACAAGGCACCTTACTTTGTCCTCTGTCATGGCCTCTCAGATGTCATTCCACCTGCTTCCAAAACGTCTTCTGGCTATAGCTGCCCAAAGGGGTACAACAGTGGCTCTCAAAATCTGTCCTATATTAGATATATCTGGGGAGTTATCATTTTTGTTCATCTCAGGATCCAGTAACAGCTTCTACCAGTTAATTGTAATCTCTGCAGGTAGAACCCCATTCTAATCCAATGGAAATCCCCTGTGAGACCAGCTGTACTGGACAATCTTTGAACTCAACATGGCAATGACTTTCCTCTTCCCGGGCCACATAATAACCTCTTACACATACACAAAAGCAATTTGTCTACATGAAACAGAAAAATTTCTGCAATCCAGTAAGCCTCTCAGTCGATTCAGCCATCCAAATCAGACCAAATCAAACCGAACTAGAAATTGCTCCGGTTTAATGAATTCAGCACTGCCGATGGCCTCCTAGCTACCCCCTATCCCCACCCCCCACCAGAGTGGAGAAAATCATGTGTCTGTTTGCTGGGGGTGGGGCAGTTTAAATACCCTGTGGGAGTGGCTTTGAGCATCACTGGAGAAGGGTCCTGATGTTGTATTCCACTCTGTATGCTGTGATTACCGTTGATTGATAAAGAAACTGTTTTAGACCTAGAACAGGGCAAAGAAGAGCTAGGTGGGGAAATCTAAACTGAATGCTGGGATAAGGAAGACAGAGTCAGGAGATGCCATGGAGCTGCCACAGGAGAAGACACAATCAGCCCGGTTAAACCTTGCCAGTAGGCCATGAGACTCATGGTAAAATATAAAATAATAAAAATGGGTTAATTTAAGAGATAAAAGTGAACTAAATATATGCATACATAAATAGACCAAGCAGTATTGTAATTAATACAGTTTCTGTGTCATTATTTGAGTTATGGGCAGCCAGGAGCAAACAAGCAGCCTCCTTACAACAGGGGCCATCATTTAGTGGGCTTTGTGAGATACAGCAGGGTTTGGAGAGAGATCAGAGAGGAGGCCTGTGATGGAGCTTTTACTAAAACATCTCACACTCTTTGTATGTCTGGATGCCAGGGACTGGAGTGACGTTTGTATCCAAAGAGAAACAAATGATCATGGTTACTCCATGCGAGTGCACTGCAATCCAACCACCCTTCAATCATTAACTCCTTGGTTGGCTATCGTTCAGTAGTCACAACCAGGGTAACTGGAGCAGAAGTCATCTGGGCAGCATTGACAAGTCATCCTTGGTGTAAGAGGAAAGTGGACAGGAAACTTAAATACATCAAGAGACCAATGTTGTCTTTGTGAGACTTTAAGCCTGACTTTTAGAGGCAAATGAAAAATTCTGAAACAATAGCTGATTTGTATTTTAATAACAATGACTGAAATCCTTGACCACAAGTACCCTTGGCTTGCGAGGCTCCCTCAGTCCTCCTGTTGAAACAGATGAGCAACTGCACAAGGAGTAACTACATTTAGGGTTGAAGCTAATGAAATACATATGGAATGTAATTATTGAATAATTGTATTACTTTCTCCTAACTGAGTAAGAACATTAAGTTCATCTATAATAAAGAGGTGAATTTTCTTCAGCGTTCAAATTATTTTGGTGCCCATTTTCCTATTACCATTTTAATCAACACCATCAACCTATGAAAATGATGTAAGCACATCCTAGAGTCCTAGACTGACATTTTAAAGGATCTACCAACAAACTTGCTTAGGAAATGCTAGGTCACACACTGTTGAGGTTAGCTAAAGGAGCATTGTCTCTCATGCGATGTGCACACACTAAGAGACAGAGACTATAGGAAATGTAGACTTCTAACACAACTTAAATTAGGTTTGCTGGGAAAATGTTGCTGATGAGGTTTGTTCTCAATGCCCATAAAGAAGGAGACAACCCTGGCCCCCAGTTGGCCATTATCAAAGGTCACGTTCATCGTGATGCTCTTTCAAAGAACATCAGGCAGATCAGAGGGGCTGCATTGGTCCAGTGCCTTAAGTCCTGGTTCGTCACTAAGCCTCGGATTTCTTTTCAGGAACTTTCCACCACGCAGGCGGGTTGGCTCTCGGTACCAGTGCTGGTCTTTATATTAAAAACACTGGTGACAGCATTTGTGCCGCGCACATCTCCCCACTTTGGCTTACTTTAGAGACAACAGGGATGACATCTCCACTTTAAAATCTTCCATTTGTCCCAAATGGCCAAGCTTTCTAGGTTCTGACCCTTTAAAACATGTTTTATTGCTCAAGTGTATCTTGGGACTGGGACATAACAGAGCTTTACAGACAACAGCAAATGCAAAGTGTTACAGCTGCGGATCTACATAAGTTTCAAACAATTTCTATGAGAGCCCAGTTTCTTTGAGAACTTGGCAGAACTGGATGCATATTATTATAGAGCTTTTCTTGAGTGTGTGGAGGGAATTCTCACTGGAGTTGGACAGACTTATCTTTTCTACAAAAACACTCTCTGATGCCTGTGAGCAATTTCTTTCCTTTGATCCCAACAATAAGCACGTAGCTTGGTCCATGGGCCACTGTCCATCTTACCTTGGCGACTTTGACAGCAGAGCCATAGCCAGTTGAGAACCCGCAGCCAATGAGGCAGACTTTGTCCAGGGGTGAAGCCGCATCGATTTTAGCCACTGCCATCTCATCTACCACAGTGTACTGGGAGAAGGTGCTGGTGCTG